TGCCCCTCTGTGAGAGAGCCAAGCTCAGGGGTTGGAGTTTTACAGGACTTTAGCCCAGTGTGCCCAGGAATAACTCTGATCCATACCTAAGTTACGGCTAGGAATCGTGGCTTTGGAGTCCATTAAATGTAGTGACCCAATTCCACACCTATCAGCTGCTGACCTTGAATGAGTTGGGAAACCTTCCTAAGTCTCATTTTGCTCATCTCTGAATGAATGTTGACTCATATGTGAAAACAGGAATGAATGTGCATAAAGCTTTTTGTACATTTTTACACCTAATATGCATTAGTCGAAAAGAATTTTTAGCTGGAGACTGCTATTTTGTGTTTTGTCCTTAGAAACGTCTAAAATTTGCTGGGCATGGTGATGCAAGCCTGTAATCCCAGCACTTGGGAGGCAGAGACAGGAGGATCACCATGAGTTGGAGGCCAGTCTGGACCACAGAGTGAGATCCTGTCCCAAAAAAAAGTGCCTAAACTGTGAAGATAAGTAAAAGTAGTTTTTCTGTTGCTTAATGGAGCCTCTTGAACCAAGACTATTGTCTTTTTCTTTTTTCTTAGAAGAGCTGTAGAAGCCATCAGGATGAAGGTCAGTCTCCAGTCTGATGTGAGGCTGCTTCTGAGCCTTGGCATTTTGTTTCTTTTCCTTTTTTTTTTTCCTGTCCTGTTTTTTTGAGACAGTTTTGCTGTGCAGTTCAGGCTGGCATCAAACTCACAGTGATCCTCCTACCTCAGCCTCCAGAATACTGGGATTACAGGCGTGTGCCACCATGCCTGGCAACATTTTGTTTTTTTCTGGATTGTTATTTCCACAATAAATGCGTTGAGAACAAGTTCAGGTCTTACCAGCTGTTCTCCTTCCTAGCCTGCCTGGACCCTTCCCCCATAGCTTGTGGGAATGGGAGGGAGTCTCTGCATTTGCTTTAAAACACAGTCTCACCATATAGCCCAGGCTGGCCTCCAAGTCACATCGATCTTCCTGCTTCCCTCAGACTCTTGAGTGCTGGGATTACAGTCATGAGCTACCATATCCAGTTTACACTCTGCTACTTTTTGGACTCAGGAATGCTGCCTCTCAGGCTTGAGTGGAAGGCTTTATGGGAGACTTAGAATAAACAACTATAAAATATGTGGTTTGTTGTATTACATTTTGTACTGGGAGATGGGTGTGTGTGTGTGTGTGTGTGTGTGTGTGTGAGTGAGAAAGAGAGAGAGAGAGAGAGAGAGAGTGTGAGTATGTTTTATAAGAAAGGCCCTGCGACCTCCAAAGCTCAGAGCCACAGTGATTTGGGCAGCTGGGCAGAGCCTAGATGTGTTGGTAGGGATTTGCGTGTGGGGTGAGGGTCAACATTGAAGTCAGGGAAGTAATCCCCAAATGGGTGGGACTTGGAGGAAAACAGGAACTAATGAAGCAGGTAAGGATGTCCTAACGAGGATTCACCCATGCAGAAGTCCTGGTGAGCAAGCACTGGACAAGTTCTGGTTGTGTGTGTGTCACCAGATCTAAGCAGAAGGAAATGGCTGGTGAGTTGGGGGCAAATGTGGATGGCCACTGATGGAAGTTAGGCAAGGTTGTTGTAGGGGAAAGACATGACCAGCTTTATGGTTTAGAGCTCAGGAATGAAAAGTTGTGGAAACGTGTATCCACATAGATGTGAAGGTGCCTTCTAACACTTTCTGGATGCCCTGGAGCTGTCGTTTTCCCAAGAAACTTTTGTGCTTCACTTGACTAGAGGGCCCTTTTGTCACTGTATTCCTCCACTACGGCTTTAGCCAGGTAGCTGTGCTATGGTACTGGAGATGGAACACAGGGCCTTTGAACTATATCCCCAGGTTTTAAATTTTTTTTACTGTATTTTGAGACAAGGTCTTGCTAAATCACTAAGTCGACCAGACTTGGCTTAAACTTGTGATCATTCTGCTTCAGCCTCCCGGAGTGCTGGGATTACAAATGGACACCATGATGCCCAGCTAAGCCAAGTAGTTTATGTATTAGAAAGTTATCATTCTTTTAAGAACAGTACTGGGGGCTGGGGATATATAGCTCAGTGGCACAGTACCTACCTGGCAAGCGTGAAGTCATGAGTTTGATTCCTGGTACCAAAAGGGAAGGAAAAAAATAAAAAACAATGCTGACAGAGAAAAAAAAATTCCCCTACTTTTTCCATCTCCATCCCAAAGAGTGGCACTTTCTTCAGATCAGCACCCAAGTTTAGTTCCTGTCACTTCCATCTACAGCTTCCTAATTTTTTTACATTCATCTGTTTTTTGTTTGTTTGAGGGGAACGTATGTTTAAATTTTTTATATTTTATTTATATGTTTACTTTTTATTTTTTTGAGACATAGTCCAACTATGTAGTTCAGGCTGACCTTGAATTATGTAGCCCAGACTGTTCTCAAACTCTCAGCAATCCTCCTGCCTCAGGCTCCTGAGTGCTAGGATTACAGACATTCATTACATCAGACCTTTTTGTGGGGGAGGTGTGCCAGAAATCGAACTCAGGACTTTATGTTTGCTAAGCAGGTGCTGCACCACTAAGCTAAATCCCCAGCCCTCATATCTCACATCTGGCTTTTAAAAAAATATTAGCACATGTTTATAGTACGTGATTACATTCATCACCAGGAGTTCATATGTGTACATAACACATTTTAATTCTTTTTACTTCCCCTCATCTGTTTTTGTGGCCTCTGACATCGCTATTGCATGAGATGGCAGCGAACAAATAGCACAGGTGGTTATTTTTTCTTTCTTTAAAGACAAAAATGTTAATAGGAGTTTTTTTCTAAACTAGAACCTCAGTATTCAGGTTTTTCTGGGAGGTGGTTGTTTTGTTTTTTGTTATTTTGAGACAGGGTCTTGCTATGTAGTGTAGGCTAGCCTTGAACCTGCCTCAGTCTTCCAGAGTGCTGGGATTACAGGTGTGCACTAGACATGGGTTCTTTTTGTTTTGTACTTTTGGTACCAGGAATTGAACTCAGGACCTTGTGCTTGCCAGGCAGGTGTTTGTGCCGCTGAGGTATATCCCTGCCTGTAGACGTGGGTTCTGCATCCATCCCACTTGTTGATTTTTTTTTTTTTTTTGGTTTTTCTCCAGTACCAGGAACCGAACTCACGACCTTGCGCTTGCCAGGCAGGCGCTTTGCCGCTGAGCTAAATCCCCAGCCCTCACTTGTTGATTTGTTTCTTTGCAAAGTATAACCTGGGACACACTTGTTTTCCTATGTACAGTCATGGCCATATTCATGCTTTCTCTTCTGCTTATTTTAAACTTTCCTGGATATTTCTTAGTCATCCCAGCAATGAGCTATTTTTAGTGCCTCTACCTCCTAGGAGACCTAAAATAAAGCTGGCTTAGTTCCCTGGCCACTCATTGGCCAGAGTGTTGGTCATAGGCTGGGGGATTGGCTGTCCTTCTACACTGCCCGCCCCAGTGGCTGCTCTGGCTTTGGATTAGGCCACAGAACTGGAGTTAGCACTTAACCATATTGAGCAAGGACTTTACCAGGTTCTTTTAGTGAAGCTGTACAACTACAGGGAACATTACCCAGGTTAGGGTCCCTATTTTACAGGAGAAGACTGAGAAAGGAGTCCCTTTAGGCAGTGACCTACAACAAATCTGCTGATGGTTGTCTTCTGGAGTCACATCTACCTCCTTCCTGCTTTGGTTCAGTCAGGACAGGATGTGTGTTCCTCTATACTCAGAGGCAGCTATAGAACACACAGTACTGAGTCCTCAGGGAGCTGCAAAGTCAGAGTGGCTCTCACCTGCGGCTCAGGCTTTGCACTGAGTCCTCAGGATCATGGTCTCTAGCTGGGATGGGGACTCCTCTCACCCTTTGGTAATGAAACTAGTACTCAGGTGGAGGATGTGGTGAAGAAATGACACAATTCACTTCCCCACACCCTCAGCTGAACTCATGTCCCTACCTCTGAAATAGGGAAGAGTCATCCTCATCAATGAAGAAATGTCCCAGAAAGGGCCAAGTCAAGTATCACCTGACCTAATAGATGTCAACTGTCCCCTTGAGACTGAGGGAGTTATTGACTGTTTTTGTCAGAAGTGGGAACTTGAGGATTGAGGATGTAGCTCAGTGGCAGAATAAAGGCCCTGGGTTCAATCCCCAGGAGCACCCAACAACAAAAAAACATGAGGCCCTGAACCTTCATCTGCCAGCAAAGACCAGGTACAGTGTTGGGAACCCAAGGGCTGGAGTAGAAATCAGTAGTTTTCTGACCTACAAAGTGGGAAGAATAACAATAACTGGTCTTGCAGGTTGTTGAGAGAATTTTTAAAAAATATGGGGCTGGGGTAAGTCCTTAACTCTTCCTTCAAGGCCCTTCCCCTTATTGGACATTGTAGGGCCTGCTCTGATTTTTTTTGGTCATGGCTCCAACGTCAACACTCATCCTGTATGTTTCACAACCCTGCCACTCCTTTGTCTTATGAACCAGGAGCTCCTCAAAGGAAGGGGTACTGCCAGGTGTGGTGGTGCATGCGTATAATCCCAGCACTGGGGAGGCTGAGGCAGGAGGATCGTTGCGAGTTCAAGACCAGCCTGGGCTACAAAATGAGCTCAAGGCTAGCCTGAACTGCATAGTGAGACCGTGTCTCACTCAAGAAGACAAAAAAAAAAAAAAAGAGGAAGCGGGTAAATCTCTGTTCCCAGCACTGGGAAGAGTCTCCTACCCGCCAGGTGTGGTGGCGCATGCCTGTAATTCCAGCACTTGGGAGACTGAGGCAGAATGATTGCCATGAGTTCAAGGCCAGCCTGGGCTGCATAGTGAGACCCTGACTCAAAACCTAAAAAGAAAGTTCCATTTAAAAAAAATAAAAGAGTCTCCTACAGATCCCCAGGGCCTGTCTGTTCCCTAAGTCAACAGATCTCAGCAAAGGAATCCTGTGCAAGGAGGTCAGGAAATGGTAGGAGTCAGTGGCTGCCATCTCTTGTTCTATAGTACCAATGCTTTCCTGTCTGTCTCTCTGGTTTTGCAGGTCTCAGTGATACCGAGTGACACTCCAGAATGGGAGACAAGCCACTTTGGGAGCAGATTGGATCCAGCTTCATTCAGCATTACTACCAGTTATTTGATAACGACAGAACCCAACTAGGTGCAATTTACGTAAGTCTCTAGCACTAGAGTCAGAATGGGACCCTAGAGGATAAATAAAGATATGCTGGTATATTCAGTTCACAAGTTCTGGCTACTCTTGCTGGCTGGCTCTGCCTGTCTACCTGAGTTTCTATCTATAGGTCAGGGGGCTGAGGCCTGAACCAACTACTGTACTTGATCCACACATTTCTTTCTATCATTTTGTACAGTAGGGATCCTGAATGGAGAGTTCTGGACCTGCTGTTACATGCACCCTGAATTATCAGAATACGTGGTCCTAACTGGGGATGGTGGTGCACATTTATAATCCCAGCATGTGGGAGGCTAAGGCCAGAAAATCACAAGTTCAAGTCTAGTCTGAGCAACTTAGTGAGACCCATCTTAAAATTTTTTAGAGGGCTGAGAATGCTGTTCAGTGGTAGATCATTTGCCCAGTATCTGTGAGGCCCTGGATTCAACCTCCATTTCTACAAGAAAAAAAGAGAAGAAAGAAAGAAAAAAAGGAAAGCTGTTTTGAAAAAAAAATCTGATTAATGAAAGACCAAATCTAACATGTGTTATTTGATTGTTATGAGTAGATTTTTCCAGTGTTGGGCCTCATGCATACAAAGCAAATGCTCTGCCACTGAGCTATACCCTCAGCCCCTCTCATATTCCTCATATTCATCCCCCAACCTCAATATTGAGGATTGAATCCAGTGCCTCATACATACTATACAAGTACTATAACAAGTACTTGTATATAGTAAGTACTGTAACACCAAGCTACCTCACTAGCCCTATTTGTTTAGCAGTACTGGGATTATACCTGGAGTCTTTGCATTGGCTATATCCTCAGTAATTTAAAAAATACTGTTTATTTATTTATTTTTTTGAGACAAGGTCTCGCTATGTAGTTCAGGCTGGCTTTGGTCTCTGTGTAGCCCAGGCTGGCCTCAAACCCATGGTAATCTTTTTACCTTAGCCTCTCGAGTACTAGGATTACAGGTATGCACCACCATGCCCAACAAGATTACTTTTATTTTGAGACAGGTTTTTTTTACAACACACTTAGCAATCCTGTTTCCCCTCCCAAAGTGATGGGATTATTATATTACTATTCTCTCCTCTCTCTCTCTCTCTTTTTTTTTTTTTTTTTAAGCCAGAGTCTCACTGTATATTCCAGGCTGGCCTTGAAGTCTAGGCAGTCCTCCTGCCTCAGCCTCCCAAGTATTGGGATCGTGAGATTATAGGTGTGCACCACCATGTCTGGCTACTACTGTCTCTTAATTAAAGCAAGGATGGGAGCTGGGGATTTAGCTCAGCAGCACAGCGCTTGCCTGGCAAGTGCAAGGTTGTGAGTTTGATTCCTGGTACCGGAAAAAAAAAAACAAACAAAACAAAAAAAAGCAAGCCTGACACAAAGAAGGAAGTTAGTAAGGTCCTGAAAGAGCACTCTGTAGATATTGTTTCATAATCCTCAGCATATTTTACCTTTGAGAATTACAAAACAGATTCAGAAGCAATTTGCATAATGTCATCGCTGCAAGTAGAAGAGGCTCTTTTAAATTCTGCCTCTGAGTACTGTAGGAGGGAAGATTTAGGGCACCAAAGGGCTAAGCTAATGGGCTGCATGTGCAGTTTTGTCTGGTGGTAGGAAGGTTCCCAGACTAGGCATTGGGGAGCCTTGATAGCTTTCATCCCTTCCAGCCTTCAGAAGGCTACCTGAAAGGACCACAGTAGACCTCACCCACAGCCTTGAAGATGGTAATGAATATGGTTTGTGGGGGGTTTTGAGATAGGTTCTCCCTATGTAATTCAGACTAGCCTTTTTTTTCCCTTCGTTTTTTTTTTTTTTTTTTTTGTCTTTTTGGGACGGGGTCTTATGCAGTTTAGGCTGGCCTTGAGCTCACTTAGCCTAGGCTGGTCTCAACTTGCAATGATCCTCCTGCCTCAGCCTCCTGAGGCCTGGGATAACAGACATGTGCCACCATGCCTGGCCAGACTGGTCCTAAACTTACTTTGTAGCCCAAACTGACCTTGAACTCACAGTGATCCACTTTGATCCTCCTGTCTCACCCTCTGGAGTGGTAGGCTTACAGGTGTGCACTATCACACCCAGCCCAAGGTATTTCTGATGACTAAGGCTTACTAATTATACAGCAGGATGACTTTTGGCTGAGCTCTGGCCATATTGTACCCTTCTGAGGCCCATGCATATTAGAAGCCATGTGATGTATAATAATGGGAAATGAAGTCTGGTGTGCTAACATACCCTACTCCCAGGACTCTGGAAGGCTGAGACAGGAGAATCACAAATTCAAACTCAATGTATGCAAGTAAGCAACTCAGTGAGACCTTGTCTCAAAATAAAAAAATAAAAAGGGCTGTGGATGTAGCTGAGTATATATGCCTTAGGTTCAATTCTCAGTAATGCAAAGGAAAAAAGAGAAATGAGCCAGGAGTATCAGTGCATACTTGCAGTCCCAGCTAGTTGGGAGGCTGAGGCAGGAGGATTTCAAGTTCTAGGTTAGCCTAGGCACTTAGTGACACCCTGTCTCAAAAAAAATAAAAGGGTTGGAGATGTAGCTGAGTGATAGAGTGCCCATAGTTTTAATCTTAAGTACCACACACATCAAAAAAAGGTGGGGGGAGTGTGACCTTGATAAGGATATTTAATTAGTCTTTCAGAGCCTGTACCTATGGAAAAATGGGGTGTAATTTTAAAAGTTGTTGATAATGTAAAGTTTGGGAGCTATCCCCCTGTTTACAAACCGCTAAACTTAGGTGTTGTATTGGCCACTTTTCCATCTCTAGGACAAAATACCCAACACCTACAGTTTAAATAAAGAGAGAGGTTTGTTTTGGTTCATGGTTTTCAAAGAATTCAGCCCATGATTGGTTGGTTCCAAGGCAGAAAGGCATGGTGGTAGGGCATGGCAGAGGACAGCTGCTCATCCCATTAGCAGCCAGGAAGCAGAGAGGAGGAGGCTCTGGGAACAAGAATACGCCCTTTCAGGTCCTGCCCTGAGTGACCCACCTTTAAGCACACGTTGTATCACGTTGTATCAGTTCACACTCACCTCCTAACAGCACATTTAGCTACCCTATGATCCAATCCTTTTCTAAACATTTGGAACATTGTTTTAGGGGATTTATGTATGTATGTATGTATATATGTATGTATTTAGTACCAGGAATTGAACTCAGGACCTTGTAGGGGACATTTTAGATCTACACCTTAACTGGTATGGACTCATTTTCCCAAGAAAGTCCCGTTTCAGGATTTTTTTTTTTTAGGGCCTTAAAAATATTCCTTGTGCTGAGGCCCTGACCCTGGGTTTTCTGTGCATTTTTCAGATTGATGCATCATGCCTTACGTGGGAGGGACAGCAGTTCCAGGGGAAAGCTGCCATTGTGGAGAAGTTGTCTGTAAGTAAGGACCAGAGCTAGGGTGTGGGCTGCTCCTTCCTTACCTTTTCTGGCCTCAGCCCACTGCCCGCTTTTTCTTTTGCAGAGCCTTCCGTTCCAGAAAATTCAGCACAGCATCACGGTACAGGACCATCAGCCTACACCAGATAGCTGCATCATCAGCATGGTTGTGGGCCAGCTCAAGGTAATAGTGCTGGGGAGGAATGGGTAGGCAGGGAAGAGCCCTGGGCCCTTGCCTTCCCTGTGGATGTGACCTGCTTATCAAGAGACACCCCAAATGACTGTCTAGACCTGCATACTGCCATATAATAGCCATTAGCCACTTGGGGCTTTTTGTTTGTTTGCTGGGCTAGGATTAAACCCAGAACTTTGTGCATGCTAACCAAGTGCTGTATCACCAAATTATACCTCCTGCTCTGCAATTTTTAATTTATACTAATTAAAATTGAATTAAAATTTAATTCCTCAGTTGCACTTGGTGTACTTTTTTTTTGAGACAGGGTCTCGCTATGCAGTTCAGGCTGGCCTTAAGCTCACTTTGTAGCCCAGGCTGGCCTCAAACTTACAGCAATCCTCCTGTCTCAGCTCCCAAGTGCTGGGATTACAGGCATGAGCCACTATGCCTGGCACTAGATGTACTTTTTAAGTGCTCATGGTCCATTATATGTGAATACGTTTTGGGCAGCACAGATACAGAACATTTCTGTAATTGCAGAAAGTGCTGGTGGAAAACTCAGGTTTAGGTCCTCTATGGAAAACGAATAAGAGGTATAGGAGGAGGTTGGACAAGCATTTGGGCCTCCATACTGCCCTGCAATGTCGGTGGCTAGCTGGGTGCTGAGGGATAGTCCCTTCCTGAAGCCCGTTGTGCCACTGGCTAAGCTGGCTCCTCATCTGCCAAAGTAAATTTCTGGGACTCCTGTCTCTCCTTGCATTTTTCTTTCCCCTTTTAAAGATCTGTCATCCTCACAACCTTGCTATGACCTCTCAGATCCCTAAAAACCTCAAAGAAACATGCTGTACTTCAGCAGATTAAAGACAGATTCTGTTTACAAAAAGCCTCTTTCTTCCCATAGTAGGAAACATTTGCTTCCCTGTGGACAGGTCTCAGCATCCTGAAATGTATCACAGCAACAGATGCACATGCATTCTCCCTACGCTAGCTGGGATAGGGCTTTCTCCATTCAAATTGGACACAGAGGGAGAGTCACCATAGACCTCTGCTGTGGACCCAGAGGGACCTACCTTCTGGCTTGGACTTTACTGTCAGTTTTCTCCTGCCTATTCAAGATGCTCTGTCTAGATGGAGCCTGTCTCCAATAGGCCCTTAGGGTTGAGTAGATCTCTCCGGAGTGCTCCATGTCATTAGGCTGGTGGTGCCCCTTTTCACCTGCTTTTAGATTCTTCCTGGTGGGCTGGGAATATAGCTCAATGGCACAAGTGCCTGCCTGGCAAGCGCAAGGTCCTGAGTTTGATTCCCAGTACCAAAAAAAAATACATATATATATTCTTCCTGATATTTGTGTCCCAGCTAGAGCCCCAAATAACTGATTTGAGTCTACTGATATTAATTCTCAGGAAAAAAAGTAACATTGGAGACAGCTAGGATCCTACTTCAACTAGGCCTCGTTCTCATTTACTTTTTCTTTTGTAAGGAGAGATTTATCTTGCCTCAAAGTGTCCTTGTTTTCTGCATTTTTTTTTTTTTTTCAGTCTTTTTGAGACAGGGTCTCACTATGCAGTTCAGACTCGCCTTGAGCTCACTTTTTAGCCCAAGCTGGTCTTGAACTCATAACGATTCTCCTGCCTCAGCCTCCCGAGTACTGGGATTACAGGCGTGTGCCACCATGCCCAGCTCTCTCTCTCTTTTTTTTTTTTTTGGTCTGTTTTCTGCATTTTTTTTTTTTGTTTGTTTGTTTTGGTCCTTTTGAGACAGGGTCTGGCTATGCAGTTCAGACTCGCCTTGAGCTCACTTTTTAGCCCAAGCTGGTCTTGAACTCATAACGATCCTTCTGCCTCAGCCTCCCGAGTGCTGGAATTACAGGCGTGCACCACCACTCCCGGTTGTTTTCTGCATTTTCGTTGAAGATTCTTTGCCTTTTTTTTCATTGCAATGATATGTATTATATATATTATAATATGAAAATTATGCTATGTTTTCCCTTATAAAAGTGTGATCCCATTTTGAACTCAGTTTTGAGCCTGGCTGCAGTCAGCATTAGCAGTTTCTTCTGATTGGACTGATGTGTTATCAAATACTAAGATTGGTTATAGTTTTTGATACTGTATGTTACATGGTAAGTATTATAGAATACTTTCAGAATTTTGACCATGTGTGCCAAGAGAGGTGGGTTCTGAGGTAGGCGTGTCTTTTCTGTTGCTTTAGCAAACTGGTATTGTGTTTTAAGGGTATAGGCAGTGCAGGCTGCCATCTGTTGGCCTGTACATGATCAGTGCATTGTTTCACACATTGTATTAGTTCACACTCACAAGTACCCTTGGTTGTACTAGATTGAGTCCAGGACAGTAGGGCCTGATCTCAAAGTTTGCATTCTCTGCCATATTTCCCTACCACTGAACTCTTTCCTGTTCCTTGACCCCCTTACTGAATCATTTTCTTTCTCTTCACAGGTCGATGAAGACCCCATCATGGGGTTCCACCAGATGTTCCTATTAAAGAACATCAATGATGCTTGGGTTTGCACCAATGATATGTTCAGGCTTGCCCTGCACAACTTCGGCTGACCTCCTCCCTGCCAGGCACTCATGCTGTTTCCTCCTCCCTCCTCTTCCTGATACTATCACACTCCTCCAGATGCTCCAAATATCATACACAAGCGAGCAGGGCCGTGGTGGAAGTGGGTGCGGTGCGCTGCTGCCACCACAGTGTTGTGCATGATGTTTGGGCACTAGACTAGTTGCATCTGACAGGAGAAGTTTGTGTTGTACCAGCGCATGCCTTGGAAAGACTTAAGTAATGCAAAAGGTTGTCCTTTTATTTTTTTTTTTTTTTAATCTACTGACAAGTTGCTCTAGTAACCCAAAGAAGTGAAGGAGAAAGCAGCTGCCTCACCACCCAAATATTGATTTGTTCAGATGTTTCAATGCCTCATGATACAATAAAACCACAAAAATTTTCTTAACAGTTTAAATTGTTTTAATTAGTTTAATATTTGCCTGGGTATCAATAAATACCCTGCTCCATTATCTCTTTCGTATCTCACCCTCCACCTCTGCCCCAACTCAGCAATACCTACGGCAAGGAGAAAAAGTGGCTGAAGCGCACTACGAGCTTGCTTCCCTCACGCCCAGTGGGGCAGAGTTCTCCCCAGGCTACCTGGTCTTGAAAAAGTAGACAAGGAAAGCTCAGGTTTGGTCTGAAGTTTCTCTTGCAGTCAGTTCTGATGCCTCCTGCAACCTCTGCCCTGGGTAGGTTCAGGGCTGTAGTAACAGTGATGACTGAATTCTGTTGCAGTTGGTGAAGTCTTGGCAAGTGGCCCACCAGGTTCAGGATCCTTCAGCCTGATGGGTCAGGATCATATCCAAGGTGCCCCACATTCCCCAAGCCAAGCAGAGGGCAGCTCAGATTCTCTACTACCTGCTTGGGATATGATTGCCTAAAGAGCAACCCCCTCTTGGGTTGGGGTATGAAAGATTAGGATCTATAGCAGTCAAGAGTATGAGAAAGTCATGCTGTAGAAATTTACACCCCTCAGGCCTTAGCAGGACATTTCTATTGCTCCCTCCATTTCCTTAGCACACACAACTCCACACTGTTCAAATTCCAGGAAGTCTTAACTGTTTGGGCAGTTTCTGCTCCTCAGTTTTGGGGACAAAAGCCTTGCCCAATACAGATACAGCCCCTCAACCCTGAGACCTCTAGATGGTAAAAGAAGCCAAGTAGCAATTGCAAGCCAGAACCAATCCTAGGATTTGGGCTGTTGTAGGATTGATGAGGGCACTCCAGCTAAGGCTAATCTGCACTCTCCATTTTCCACTACTAAGGGAGGGTACAGGTTCGTTCAGACCCCACAGGTTGCCTGTCTTCACTGGGCACAGGGCTGGATGATGTGCTGTTTGGGAGGACAGCATAGTCAGATTTCAGTGGAACTGATATCTAAGCTGCTGTGTACTTGGGGTGGGGAAGAGGTAGATGCCTGCTGCCTCTTAAACCACCCTGTATAAAAATCTGCGATATAGCTTCCTCCATGTACCTATGCCTGAAATGTCTGCAATAAAGTGGTGTTTGTAAACTGTGGTTTCTTTCTTCCAAACCTGTGGGTGCTGTGGTGGGATAAGGGATGCTGGGGGCCAGTAGGGAACAATGACATTTTTGAGAACATGTCCCCTGCCCTTACAATTCCCGGGTTACTACAGCCCATTTCCCAAAGGGGAGATAAGCAATCAGTTCAATTTGTTCCTGTCAGACTGAGGAACTGCATCTTGGATCAGGTCTTAGGGAGAATTCGTCATAGAGTGGGTAGGGACTGGGTGGGATCTCCCGAGGCAGGTACAGTTTTGGGCGTCCCATTCCTCAACACAGAGGGCATTTGTTCTGCCTTAGTCTTGTGAAACTTCCCCGACTCTGTGGGCACAGGGGAAGGACAGCGAATGAAGGGATAGGGCCTGGGCGGGGGTTATGTCATTCACCCTCAGCCCGGAACCTTTCTTCTCCGGCCTTCGCAGGTTCCGGGAGTGCAGGCTCATGGGAGCCGGAAGTGGAGGCGGTTGGTGGGGTTGGTCCGGCTAAGGGACGCGGTGCAGGCGGCAGTTTAGTATCAGTCTTTGGTTCCCGTGTAGTGACCGGCGTCCTGTTGTCGGAGGGGGGAGGGGGTCGCGGCTGGGTGAGGCTGGGGGGTGCGCGGCAGCAGCGGAAGGAACGCAGTGCGGGCAGGGCGCCCGCGGCCCAGCCCATGGCCTCCTGCGCGAGCATCGACATCGAGGACGCCACGCAGCACCTGCGGGACATCCTTAAGCTGGACCGGCCCGCGGCGGGTGAGCGAATATAGCCGGGGTGGCCCCTCTGCAGGCAGGAAGACTGGTGGTGTGGGTTTGAACCGCCCTCGGGGCCTGTAGATCTCTTAAATCTGTGCGGCTAGTGAGGGCGCACGAGTAGAGTCATAGATCTCTGAGCATACTCCGCGAATGGCGCAGCCTCCTGGGTGCGACCCCCTCCCCATTCTGGCGCCAGAGGCTTCTACCTTGTCCTTCAGCGTCTCGGCTGAAGGTGAGCCTCTTTCTCTGAATAATCCGCCTGCCCCTTATGGTTTTCTGGCCCAAAGACTGATGTTCCTGAGACTGGCCCAGCGCCACTATCCTTTCGCTATGGTTCACACGGCCGGCGCGGGGCTCTTTTTCCAGTTCTGGGCCTAGAGTTTAAGCGCTGTGCTGCAGAGCCTCCTGTTCCCCTCTACAGCTTGCCTTTTCCACTGGAAAGCAGACTTCAGACCTGGTGTTGTTTTGAGATGGTTTTGCTAGAGGAAGGCGGCCCTCGACAATTCCGTGTTCTTTCTGGGATGAACGCAAATCACAGATTGCAAGGCCCTAGATTAGTCTTCAAGCATATGCAAGCCTAATTTGTTCCCATTCAAATTTTACTTGGGCTTCTAGTAATACCCTCAAACTGCTCTTGCTGACAGGACACAGAGATAACAGGGTTGCAGTAGAGTATTGCCATTGTAAAAGAGGATTGCTTTGGTACTATGATAAGAAGCGGGTGGATGTTGAGGGGGGACTGGAATTGCAGAGTACAAGTCTGAGAGAGGAGACTGTTTAGGGTAGGTCTCAATACAGACAGGAGTGGGTATAGGCTAGGTCTTATAATATGGACAAGAGTTGGGTGTCAGGAAAGCCACCTAAGACACCTATGTAGAAGCCATATATTATGAAGAGGAAATAGCACATGTGAAAGCACTGAGTTTCCTGGCATCCAGAAAAAGTTGTAGTGGTTGAAGGACTTGCTTGTGGTGATGTGGATGTGCAGTGGCCACTGCTGAGAATTAATGTTTCCTCACAACTTGTTCTGACCAACTGGGAGCCCCAGACTGGCTGCTTCTGAAGCAGGTACTGGTGCTCTCTCTGAGTGGAATTAGCTAATCCATACTCTTTGAAAAAGTCCATTACTGTTTGAGACCATGGACCCTTTGTTCCACACCTGGAGTGTGTGTTCCCTTAACTCATCAGTATGGCTTGTGCCTCTTTTTCCTATTATCTGCCAAGCAGACTACACTCCAGACATTTGTTAGAGCCTAGCATGGTTAACCATGCACACTCTGGGCCTGCTGTTTGCTTATCATCATGGTAGACTGCCTTGTGGGGAGGGTGTGTCAGGTTATCCTTGAGCACCTAAAGTGGCTATGATCCTAGTAAAGTGGCTTTCCTCAAAACTCCTTTATTGATTGGCACATGATTCTCTTTTACTACATAGTCTTGTTCATCCTCTCACATTGAATAACCAAATCAAATCTTGTACTGTTTTGTTTTGTTTTTAAATCTCTTCTTTTTTAGGGGGTGGGGGTGGTACCAGGAATCAAACTCAGGACCTTATGCTTACAAGGCAGGCGCTTGTGCTGCTGAGCTATATCCCCAGCCCTGTTTTGCTTTTTTTAAATACTGTTTTATGATGGAAACTGGCTGTGTTCTTGAAGCTGTAGTCTCCTTGCTGCCTTTGAGTTCAGACAGGCAGTGGTGTCAGAGCCAATGAGAATGTTTGAAAACCAGCCATTGCAAACAACTGAAACGCTATGTCCTAACTCTACACCCCACTCTATAGTTTCTCTCTCTCTGTTTTTTTTTTTTTTTTTTTTAAGATTGGGTCTTACTATGTAGTCGAGGCTGGCCTTGAACTTGCTGTGTAGTCCAGGGTGGCCTCGAACTCAGCGATCCTCCTGTCTCCCAAGTGCTAGGATTACAAGCATGTGCCACCATGCCTGGCTAAGTTTCTCTCTTTGTCCAGCTTCTTCATGTCCATTTCTCCTGATTTTACCTGCCCCACCTGGCTTCTTCTGAGCCATTTCTGTGTGAGACAGGTCCCTTTCTTAATTTTTATTTCCATTTTTGTCTGTGCCTTTTCATGGCTTAGGAGCCCCTCTTCTCTTCAGGCCCTGTTATTACCTTGGTGTAGGTCCTGATATCTCTCCCCCAGATTCTCAAATATTCTGTATGCTACCTTAGAGCAGTCAGTCCACTCACCAGAACTGACAATATCACCTCCTTTAAAATTTTTTTCTGAGGCTTGGGGGTGTGGCTCAGTGGTACAGCACTTGTCTACCATGTGCAAGGCCCTTGGTTCGATCTCTAGCACTTCAACAACAACAAAGAAAGAGGCATTATCCACAGGGAGAGTTTCAGCATCATGCCTAAGGCCTCTGCAGCCTTGTTTTCCCTCCGTTCTTTTTTTTTTTTTTGTCTTTTTTGAGATAGGGTCTTGCTATGCAGTTCAGGCTGGCCTTGAGCTCACTTTGTAGCCCAGGCTGGTCTCGAATTCACAATGATCCTCCTGCCTCAGCCTCCTGAGTGCTGGGATTACAGGCATGTGCCACCTTGCCCAGCTTTCCTCCATTCTTTCTGTATTTGGATGCTCTGAATACATTGTCTATGATGGTGCCTCTTTGAAGGCTTTCCTGATTCTTCCCATGCCCTCCCTCAAGGACTACACAGAGTTCCTCTTTCCTGACCTAGGCATGAGTATTAACAGGCTTCAGAGGGACCATTTTTTTTTCAGTGCTAGGAATTGTAGTAGGCACGCGGCCTACTACAAACTATATCCCCACCCCCATCAGATTATCTTTGATGGCTCATATCCCTCTCCCAGGTAGAAGAGTTTCATACTTATGTTTGGTCTTAACATATATCAGCATTTATGGGCTGAGAGATGAACAAAGGACCCTCCTTCCCAAAGATATACCATGCTCAGTTGAATGTTTGTAGAGCTTCTCATGGTATGGAAGGAAGCCCTGTGGGAGAGGCTAGTGGGCAGGTAGAACAACCTTGGTGGGTGGTAACAACCTTGTCTTGGTTGTCTCTGTCTCCAGGCTCCAGTGCCGAGAGCCGGCGGCAATCCAGTGCCTACAATGGGGACCTCAATGGGCTCCTGGTACCAGACCCCCTCTGCTCAGGTGATGGTACCTCAGCAAACAAGCCTGGTCTTCGGACCATGCCACCGATTAACCTGCAGGAGAAGCAGGTCATGTGAGTATCTGGAAGATGGCAGTGGTGTTAATGGTGTCTTTGTGCATGTGCTAGCCAAAAGCATGAGATGACAGCGAGAGGGGCCAGTACTCTCTGCTTTTCTCCCTCTGGGTGACCTGGGGCAAAGTACTTTTAACCACATTGAGCTTCCACTAGGAGGAGAGGTGAGATAGCCTAAGTGTTTGGCTGGATGCCTAATGAGGTGCTTAGGGAAAAAAAAGAGAAAAAGATGCTTAGGGTCATTCCTAAACAGAAAGGTGAGCAAGCCAAGCAACTGCACCAAGCATTGTACACCAAGTGCACCAAGCATTGGCTATTAGGACTGTACATCCTTACCAGATGGCTATGTCTTCTCTTCTATTCCTGCCATTGAGATAAAGTTTATGTACCCCTCTTTCCAGCTGCCTCCCTGGAGATGATAGCTCCACTTGCATCGGGATTTTGGCCAAGGAGGTAGAGATTGTGGCCAGCAGTGACTCCAGCATTTCAAGCAAGGCTCGGGGGAGCAACAAGGTAGGTACCTGAATGCCATAGCCTGTATAGTGTATAAGAACACACCTAGCCTCTCCCTTCTCTCCCATACTGCCACTTTGTGTGAAGGTCACCATGTCACAAGTAGTGTGCCTCAGTTTTAGGAAGCTAGGGCTGGCTGGCAGGCCTCTGTGGGAAATTGCCATGGGTTGCTGGGTTTGTACCTGTAACCTCTCCTAGGGTTGTTTGGGATTTCCTAAGGTCTGGGAAGTTATCTCAGTCCTCCACGTCTTCAACCTTCCTCATTCTGAGTTCTCAGGTGAAAATCCAGCCTGTTGCCAAGTATGACTGGGAGCAGAAGTACTACTATGGCAACCTGATTGCTGTGTCCAACTCCTTCTTGGCCTATGCTATTCGAGGTGAGTAGGGACAGGAGGGCACAGGAATTGTTCTATACTAGAAGCCCCAGAGATTCAGGTCCAGTGTCGGTCCACTCATCCCACTCAGACCTTAGAGGTACAACAGAGATCTTATCTGGGCTTCTCTACTCTACCAGGTCTAGGAGAACTGGGTGGGAAAACCAAGCTTGAGA